ATGGTCATCATTGCGACATTTAATGGGAAAACATTTTGAGACATTTAGTGGCGGTTGCGACATTTAGCGACAATTGTGCGACATTTAGCGACAATTGTGATATTAAGCGTCGTTGCGACATATAACAGCGCCACAGACAATCCATCAGTTGTGATGTGTATTTTACAGATGATGGATGGGAGGTAACCCCTATAGCAATGCGCATGATGCCTACACTTGTTATGTCATCCTGGTAATGATTATTCCTGTAATTATCATACATGTACATATGAGAGAATGCAGCGTAAACTGTCGTTTTTCAATTTTGATAATACAAGCAAATATTTTGTCAGTTTAAAATAATAGCTTCATATTTTGATTATATTTGTAAATATTCTGTTCACTAGACTATGTACAAATATGCGAAAGCTCATAATATACATGTACATGTCAGAAAAATGTGTTAACATGCCGTAATGCTAATAATTTGCATTACACCTTATACTATTGACTTAAATCTGTTGACTGTAAAAATGTTATGTTTCTGTACTATGTAACGTTACGTTACACGTTACGTTAAGTTGTATTGCGTTGTGTTTTGTCGAGTATATATACAGTAGAGGATATTTGTTTGTTTTTCATGTAAGATTGAAATATAATTTCACTGAGTGAACACCAGATGCAATATTTTCACGAGTGGCGTAGCCACGAGTGAAAATATAATAGCTGGTGTTCACGAATGAAATATATTTCAATCTTATATGTAAAGCAAATAAATTTTCTTTTTATTTCATGCTTTTTAAGTGATTTTAAGTATTTTTTACTGATTTTGCCGCGTAACGTCGCGCAGTCTCCTTTGTGACGTCATCACATCATGACGTCACATCATCAATTTTGAAATATAGTTCTGTTAAATTTCTCTAATTTTGTAACATGTTTAACATGATGTATGGTGACATCGACTTATTTTTCCTAAAGAAGCAAAATTTACGTATGACGGCATTTATTTCTGCCTGTTATTCCATTTAGTTTAATTTTCTTTTCATCCGCATTCAGATATAGTCCGGCTACAGTGAAAATTATATTTTATAAATTTCACTAGTGGTTTATCAGAATATAATCATCTGATATATTACAATAAAACACTGGAAAGCATGAAATAAAATGTTACGTTATATTGTTAGCGTTCAATTATGCTATAAATCTTCTTCAACCTAGCTTCACTAGTCCAACAAAATGTCAAATTATTATTATCTTAAACTTGAGAACTAATTGACACTATATTTCTTATGATGTATAAGAGACAAGAAAGTAGGGCGTGGTTTTTAAAACTTTTGCAGAAGGCCACACAGTGATCCTGATTTTCTGATATAATGTCACTAAAATTGTTTGCTGACGGTACTGATTTTGGGATGGTGTTGTGCAAGAATATTGTATATCATTCTATAATCTGAATAAATAGACAATTATAAGGGATAGAATTTCATGTTCTGTTTTCAACCTAGTGTAAGGTGGTATATGAGTGAGAAGAGAAAGTTGTGTCGTCTGCCGAACTGAAGAGTGATTTCAGGAAAATCATTGATATAGAAAGGAGAAAAGCATGGTCCGCCATGGAACTAAACCATGGGGATATCTAAATGGGATAGGATGTTCACTACTACAAATTGTGATCTATTGTCTAAGAAAGTCATGCATAATCCATTTGATAGTTACTCAGCTGATACCATAAAAATGCAGCTAATAAAGAAGTTTTTCATGGTTCGCAATATCAAAAGCTTTTGAGAAGTCAAGAAGTGGTCATCTTGACTCGACCGGTCCAGGCCAGTGCTCGACCAATAAATCTTTTTGTATGCGATTTACGAACTGGTTCGGAGACCTTTTAAACAACAAGATAAACATATTTATTTGATAACAAGTCCATCGACCCATAATTTACAATGCAACATGTACATGAGACAAGAATCATTTTACGTCTCTTGATTAACATCATTTAATTGATGTACAAATACAGAAATTACGCATTGTTGAATCACAACTTGAATTTATTAAAGGGACGTACTCCTCTGCAAGATTAATGTTCCATTTGATAGGGAGAAAAGTCCGTGTTAAGCATTATATATGTTAACATCGCTTATAGAACTAAGACGTTAATAATTATTCTCTTTAAATGTACATGTATATTTGTAAAACCGCAGGATTTTTGTCATTAAACAAATTATTGACAGCTATTCAATTTCAGCACGAGTAAATGGTTGATTCAGATCAAAACAGTCGCCATCGATCTTTTTTGCACGATTCTCCGTGTTGAGTTGCAGAATCGTGGAACGTAGATCTTTGAAATTAGTATACCATTCATTGGCTGAAATGTCATTGTTCGCGTTAAAAAAGTAATTGCTGTATATGCTTTTAAGTCATGTATTAAGTTTGATTTTCTAAACTAACATACATAGTGCGATATATTGCCGTGATTGTTTGTATCTAAAGGATTTTATTCGCATACCAATTACAATTAATAAATATACGCTAATAATTAAGCTATCGAATTATTACCGACAATAACAGGGACAAAAAAACATATATTTTGCTAACATGTAACAAATTTGAAAAAAAAAGTAATACATATATATGTTTAGTGCTAGAAGCTTAGCCATGAATAAAAGTAGTAAGATTTAACTGTCAGTACATACGATTTTTCTACACTTTATACAACTTTGCCACATAAATTAATCAATGATAAACTAATTTCCCTAATTCAGAAAACTTTTGCACGGGAAAAAGTTACCTTTCTAGCATGTAATTCGAACAAAGCTTTTTTTACTAACGGTATTGTTAAACATTATACTATGTGGACCTGTGACGAAGTTTGTAGAGCACTCTCTTTTCTTTTAGACAACATTTATGTCAGGTTTGGTAATACCCTATTTAAACCGATCATAGGAATTCCTATGGGTACTAATTGTGCACCCCTGGTCGCCGATTTGTTTTTGTACTGCTATGAAAGAGACTTTATGTTGAGTCTCTCTGAAGAGAAACAACAAGATGTTATAGTCGCATTTAATAATACTTCCAGATACCTTGATGATATTTTTAATTTAGATAATCCTTATTTTGATCAAATGGTGTCTGACATTTATCCGCACGAACTACAACTTAATAAAACGAACTCTTGAAATTTTAGTACATCATTTCTGGATCTTCATATTACTATCAACAACAATTCTATTCACACGAAAATTTATGATAAAAGAGATGACTTTGACTTTTGTATAGTTAATTATCCACATTTGGATGGAGACGTACCCCATGCAACATCCTACGGGGTTTATGTTTCTCAGTTAATTAGATTCGCTAGAGCTTGTAACAACGTAAAGGATTTCAACGAGCGGAATATTTTTATTACCAGCAAGCTTCTAAAACAGGGCTACCGCTATCATAAATTACGGAAATATTTTACAATCGTAACTTTGATTTAATTTCTAAATTCAATAGTGATTTAAAAACTCTTCTGCGACAAGGGATTAGCCAGCCTGGTTTTTATGGCGATGTGGTTTACAAACTTCGTAAGATTTTGGGTCATGGTAATTTTTTCTGCTGTTTTTACTAAAAATTATTAAACGTTTTATTAAAAGAGGTTATGACCCTACTATTTTAAGACATACTGCATGTTTAGTGTTCAAACCCTTTTACAGTTGGACACTACGCTTTCCTCTTTTGATTGCATCTGACGGACCAAGTGGGAGACTCTATGATGGATAGTTCGTAAAGCCCTTTGGGACTGAATTGTCTTAATGTTCGTCTTCTGCCTTGCTTCGTCGGGCCCTTGTAGGTGATTTTCTTGTTGCTCTGTCTTCCTTTAGGACATTGAGTACTTTTGTTATGGTCATTGGGTTTACTTTTATATGTTTCTACATGATCATTTTAGTGTTTTACTTATTTAACCTTTTGTAACCATGACAACTGTTAGAATTTCACTTGGCGGGGATTCATTTTATTTACACTGTCTCGTTTATAGGAACATGGTGGGGCTAAGAGCGAGGTTTGGTGCACCATTAACCGGTTTAAACTCCCCAGGAGTCATTATTATGCTGCTGACCGTTCCAAGGCGGCGCCCCTCTATGTTCCTCAGATGTATGTCTATGTTGTTTCATACTGTTTTGGTGACACTTTTGCTTGTGTCCCTTGTTGTTTTCTCGTCTACGGTAAGTATCTTCCCCATTGCCTCTAGTTTTTATTTCTTTGATTACCCCCCCCCCCCCCTTCCCCCGGTCTCCTGTCCCCTTCCCCTTTGTGGGCCTATATTATTATTTTCTTTGAATTCCTAATCAGTTACAAATTATTTATCATTTAATGATTAACGTGTCGTTGCCCTGTCCTTTTTATGTTTGGGGTCCGCCTGGGCTCCTTGCCATTGGTTCTTGTTGCTGGGTCATATGGGGGTTGCGTTCATTGAACGCCGCCTTTCCTTGTTGATCTTGTTTTTCATATTTTAAGAAGAATATACAATAAGATATGACAAATTAAAACAATATATAGTGACATGAACATTTATTGTAAGGGACTATATATAACAGCTTAAATGTTATGCAATACTAACAATTTAATTATGATCGATATAATACATGTATCAAAGATGTAAATAAATTAAATTAGTAATAGTTTAACATCTAGAGTAGATCTATATAAATTATTAAAGACTTACTAAAAGAATATTAAATTTACTTGATTAAAGTAGCACATAAAACAAAAACTGGAATGTTAGATTAAGCACATGGATGATAACATACAAAGTTTACGAAAAGGAAATTGCATGCATGCAAAAAGTTTTTAAATGAAACCAGCAAACAAACTTGGACAACATTTTGAACAAGGATATTTTAACTAACATAAAAATACATAGTAAAATGAATTGTTCATACTGATGTCATATTCCGGCATATGATTTCATTTTCGCATTTTAATTATATTGCGTTTCGGGATTAAAGATATCTCGCGCTTAAAACATTTGCCTAACAATACCAAAACGAGGCTGTAAACAATATGGCCGCTTGCATTGAATTTGGAAAACTACCGGTGAAATTTCCTTAATAACCTTGAAATGGCAAAAAGGTAGTGATAAATCAAGCGAATTTACAGGTGAGGGAAGCATGAAGGTGTATTTACGGATCAGATTCGTTGGCATGCGACTATTCATCTTCTCAGTACAGCGTTTATTTTAATGTTTTAAAATGTTTTTGCACTAAACTGCTGAGCACAAACAAATAATATTGAAATATTTTGACGTTGCCAAAGCTGTAATCTCAGATGTTTCGTTCTCTCTATTGTTTACTTTTCTATCAAAACCGTCATTATATCATTTAAAAGCCCATCCATAATTTTAAAAGCCGAGAATCATCCTACAGGTATTAGAAAAATTTATGTATAAATAGCTAATCTTTTGCAATGTTCTAAAATTATTTATTCAGATGCCGTACTAGTAAAGCTGTAATAAAGCTTGGTGCAAATTTATCCACATAAGGTTCTTTTACAGTATGTTGATAACAATTGTCCCCACTTACAATTCAAGCCATAACAAATCTATCTTAATGAACCTAGATCAGCAAATGTCATAAGTTCATTTTCTTACAATAACTCAACTGCCCATTTCAGCGGATAACTCAACTGCCCATTTTAGCGGAATGAATGAAAGTTGAAGCCAGCTTAGTCATAATATGAAATTAGGTGCTACCTATGGCCCGGAAAGCTCTTATGATTTATGATTTAAGCATAACATGTTTAGTGTTCATGTTAACCAGATCTATCATGCAATTCGTTAATAAGTATATGCAGGTATTTTCTACTGTAAACAGAAAAACAAATAAATTGGTGGTGTTCACACTATCATAGGAAGAGGGACCACTGCGCATGCGTCGGCGTTTGGGAAATCCCGTCCGCCATTTTCTGTTAATCTCTAATCACATATGTTGTTTTTACTTTATTTTTAATGTGCTAATTTATCAAAAAGGATTTAAAAGTAACTTTTTACATTTATCATTGTTTATATAGTACTTATGAATGAAACAAATGTTTATTTTCTGATTTTGTACATCATTCTTTCACCGGAAGTGTTATTAAACATGCGTCTGCTAGCAATAGTCTGAATTATGTAGACGCTCATCAAAAGCGCTGTGATATCTATATTTAGCTAAAAGGGATTTCAAAATGGCGGCACCCAGTTAACTAAGGATTTTTTACAGCTCATTATATATTATATATTTTTTTGAAATTTTCATTTACTTTTAATTTGATTTCATTTGAATTGATACGCGTCATACAATTGTTATCTAAGTGCGCTACAGCCCTCGCGGGGCCTTTGGCCCCGCTCGGACTTTCCGCGTATTATTTTGATATGAAATTAGGCAAAGCCTATGACCGGGGAAGTCGTTACAAATTCCATTCATTTTTCCATTTTAAAGGTGTCATTTGGTATTTCATGCATCGCTTCCTTTTTCACTCAGAACACTTGACGTTTATTATTTATCCGAAAAGTTGAGATTTGTTCCGTTATCGGAATACACTGTCTTTTATCAAAGGGTAATCATTGTAACTGGCGTTGCCTAACTATAGAACTGACACTGAAAATTTAATTGATAGGTATAGAATTCTATATATTTTTTAATTGGTTTTTATTTGATTTTCTTTTAAATATACACGGTAGTCTATAGCCGAACAAGCCAAAGCCCTGGCCCGCAAAGCAAGCCCGGACTTTGACTTCCCCGTATAAATGTTAATTCATTTTCTCATTAAAATCTATATACAATTGAAAGTGTTCCAAACGAGGATATACAATTTGTAATAAACGATCAGTTATTTTTAGAAACTTTATTAATGGAAATAAGAGGTAAATCTATATCCTACGGTTCTTATAAGAAAAAAGCAAGTAATGAAAGGGAAATACAGATAAAAAAAGATATTGAAATACTAGAAAATTCTGAAACTATTCAAAATAATGAAAAACTCGAACAGCTGCGTAACGAATTAAATATCATACAAGAAAATAAGTTTCAAGGTTACATTTTGAGATCAAAAGTGGACTGGGTAATTGATGGAGAGAAACCAAGTAAATTATTTAGTAATCTTGAAAAAAGCAATTATGTTAATAAAATGTATCACAAAAATCATGAAAAACGATGGTACTTTAATAACAAAACAAGAAGAAAATCTTAAACGAAACTGCATTTTTTTATGAATCATTATATACGTGTTCCTCACATGGCTTAGAGGATAATATGTTTTTAAACTTTGTTAAAGATATAAACAATTCCAACATTATCAAATACAGAGTCAAAATCCCTCGAGGGTAAAATCAGACTAGAAGAAGCATCAACCGTTTTAAAGAATATGAAAAATAATAAAAGTCCAGGCTCATCTGGATTTTCAGCAGAATTTATATAATGTTTTTGGAACAGAATTGGCATATTTGTTTGCAGGGCTCTAAACCATGCTTTTATATCCGGAAACTTATCTGTAACACAAACACACGGTATAATAACGTGTATCCCTAAAGGTGATAAGCCAAAACAATTTTTTAAAAATTGGCGACCGATAACACTGCTTAATACAATTTATAAAATTGGTTCTGGATGCATAGCGAATAGAATAAAAATATATTTAGACAAACTTATTAACACTGACCAAACAGGATTTATAAAGGGCAGATTTATAGGAGAAAATGTAAGACTAATTTATGATATAATGCAATATACAGAGGAGAATAACATTTCTGGGCTTTTACTCCTTATCGATTTCGAAAAGGCTTTTGATTCTTTGTCTTGGGTTTTTGTAGATAAAACGTTGTCACTTTTTAATTTTGGAGAAGACATCAAAAGATGGTTTAACATTTTCTATAAAGATGGGATTTCAGCAATATGTCAAAATGGATTCTTATCAAAGTTCTTTAGCATTCAGCTTGGGTGCCGGCAAGGTGATCCGTTAAGTTGTTATATTTTTATTTTATGTGCTGAAATACTTTCGCAGAAAATTAGGTCAAATAACAATATTAAAGGAATTAAAATGAATTTGGTAGAACATAAGCTATCTCAATTCGCAGATGATACTTCAATTATTCTAGATCGTTCGGCCTCTTCTTTAAATGAAACCTTAGACACATTGTCCACTTTTACTTTTATTTCTGGTTTGAAAGTTAATTTTGACAAAACAAAAGTCGTCTGGATTGGAAAAGAAAAATTTAGTGCAAATAGTATAAAAACAAAATGGAAATTATCTTGGAATCAGCAAAATTTTGACATGCTTGGCTTTAAGTTTCATGTAGATTTGTCAAAAATGATAGATTTAAACTACAAATCTAAAATTGCAAAAGCAGAAAATATTTTTAAAATGTGGAAGAGAAGAATAATTACACCAATTGGAAGAATAATTGTCATTAAAACTCTTGTACTGTCACTCTTTAATCACTTGTTTGTTTCTTTGCCTAATCCTCCAAAATCTTATATTCAACAAATAAAAACTTTATTCTTTGATTTTATATGGCAAGGTCCGTGCAAAGTTAAAAAAGACGTTTTGATAAAAAATAAAAAAGATGGAGGTCTCGACATGATAGATTTAAATGCATTTATATCTGCATTAAAAACCACTTGGATAAGACGAATCATTACGAGCAACGGAAAATGGCTAGATATTGTTTCTAATCTAATAGATATAGATAAATTATTAAATTGTGGCTCTCATTACCCAGAAACCATAGCGAAATCCTGTAAAAACTTATTTTGGAAAAGATACTTTAAATGCTTTTGTTCAATTATGTAAAAAAAATCCCATGTTCCGATAAAGTGTTGGAATATCCATTATTTTATAACCCAGATATATTGATTGGTAAAAAAAGTATATTTTTAAAGTCATGGTTTAATGCTGGTGTCCAGTGTATAGGTGACTTGTTTAACATGAATGGGGATTTATATGAGATCCATGAATTCAATAAAATTTATAATTTGAGTGCTAATTTTTTGCATTTTCAAGGCATATGTAACGCAGTAGTTAAATATCTTAAAAGTGTTGGTTATTCTATTAGTAGTTTACAATATGTTTCAAGACCTTATATTCCACCAATGCTCTCTCAGATATTAAAAAATGAAAAGGGTTCACAACCTATGCATAATATATTAAAATCAAATAACAGTACAGCTGTTTGTAAACTTAAATGGGAACAAAAACTTAATACTAATTTTGAAGATAAAGAATGGAATACATTTTTTTCATTTATTTTTGAAACCACTAAAAACACGAATTTACAATGGTTTCAATACAGAATTGTACACAGAATACTTGGCACAAACGAACTTTTGTATAAGATACAATACAAAGATAATCCAAACTGCAGTTTTTAGCTCGACTTTTCTATGAAAAGGGGAGCTATCCTACTCGCCCCGGCGTCGGCGTTGGCGTCACACCTTGGTTAAGTTTTTCGTACCACCCCACTTTATTTCAGAAGTATTACAAGTATGGCTTTGAAACTTACCATACTTGTTCACCATCATAACCTCCATCTACAGACAAGAGTACATAACTCTGTCAAGGTTTTTGACAGAATTATGGCCCTTTTTTGACTTAGAAAGTGTATTGAGCTTGGTTAAGTTTTTTGTACCACCTCACTTTATTTCAAAACCATTGGAGGTATTGCTTTGAAACTGACCATACTTGTTTACCATCACGACCTTCATCAACAGACAAGAGGACATAACTCTGTCAAGGTTTTTGACAGAATTATGCCCCTTTTTGACTTAGAAAATACATTGAATATGGGTAAAATCCACTTATTGCCTTAACCCTTTGAAATATTGCTTTGAAACTTTTAATGCTATTTCACATCATTACCCCCCATCTGTACGCAAGAGAAGGTAACTCTGTCAAGGATTTGTTTTAAAAATTAAGGCCTTTTATCGACTTAGAATCTTGGTTAAGTTTTTAGTACCAGTCCACTTTTTGACTGAACTGTTTGAGATATTAATTTGAAAGTTGGAATACTTGTTTACAATCATGATTCCCAAACATGTCCAGGAGAAGGTAATTCTGTCAAAGATTTTATTTGAATTATGGCCCTTAACTGTCAATGTTTTGTATTATAGGCAAGCACTAAAAAACTTAAAAAATCTAAAAAAATTCATTCCTATCCACTGAACCTGCAGTGTTCAAGGGTATCACACAATTCAGTAAAATAATTCTTCACTAAATATCTTAATGCTCATGGCCATTGTTCACTTTAAAAATACAGAGATTCTTGTATTGCCTTTTACTGCAAAAACTTTTTTTATTGGCAAGCAATAAAAAAGTCGAGCGCGCTGTCTTACGGACAGCTCTTGTTGCAACAAATTTTCTGAAAGCTTGGAACACCTTTTTTGGGACTGTGAAGTTGTTTTTGATATGATTAATGGTCTTTTTGAAAATACTCATTTACATTATTTTGACAAGAATAGAATTTCTTTTAGGAATACAAAATGTTGATAATGAAACTAATCTTTTGCTTTTATTTGTCAAGAAGTATATATATTTTTGTAAAATGAATTTTAAAAGACCGACTATAGAGGCTGCTAAGCATTATATTAAGTACCAATTCCAAATTGAGAGAGAAACACAAAAAAATATTAACAAAGTAGATATTTTTGACAAAAAGTGGGACAGTTTGAAATATATTTTCATTTCTTCATACCAAGATTAGTATGTGAGTGTGGACATTGTGTTATTGATTATGTGTTATTATTATTTTAAACACAATATGACTAGAAACAGTTTTTATTCATTAGACTACAGGCTACAAAACTATATATTGAAAAGTTAAGTGAGATTATAAATTAATCACAGGCTTCTATTTTTTTAATGTACCTTGTGTGTTTGTTTTGTTTGTTTATATATATGTATGTCTTTGTATGTATGTATGTTTGTATGTATGTATTTATCTGTGTTCAAAATAAACGGGGTTATTTTATACAAACAAAAATGAATATTGCTATATTTGGGTGTATTTGGGTATTTTTTGTCACTGGCGGGGACAGAGACAATTATTGGCCTCATAATAGTGATGATTCTTCCCACTTCAAAGCAGTCATCTAAATTATTAAAATCAAGAAATGAGGAGATAAAATGTAATATGTTTTGGTATTTTGTGAAATAAAAATTAGGGTCTTGCTGTAGTTACTCTACATAAATGTAATTATATGGAGGAATTTCGTAGGACCAGGCTTTGTCTTGCTTAACTATAGACATCACATGTATACTTAAAAGGAAATCAAATAAAAGACAGTTTAGACAATACCTATCAGTAAATTTTCAATGTCATTTGTATACAGTTTGGCCCTGCCATTTTAAATGTAACTCGATGATGATTCAGCGAGGTATTCCAATACTGGAACAATCACAACTCTTTGGCAGATTTATGTGCTTTGATTGAAAAGTGGTACATAAATTACAGAATGACAATTGTAAAATAAAAAATGACTGCCCCATTCATAGACATTGTCAACTTTCATATTATGTAGTAATTTTTGGTTTTAGAAAATGACATAATAGTTAAATGTGATTGTTACATATGGTAAATAGTCATGTCTTAATTTTAGTTTATTATGTTTGTCAGCTACTACTATATAGATATATTAAGTATATATTCACTTTTACAATTTTCTATTTCAGGTAAAAAAAAGGTGAAGCATGGCAAGAAGTGTACCTTGGAGAAGAACTTGTAATGATCTTGTCTTCTGGAGACAAACACAGGCTCTTAATGCTACCATTTTTATTTTACGAGAAACAGGCCCAACAGGTTTCTTACTGAAGGAGGAAGGGGAAACAAAGCCATGCAAGGTATGTGTAGCTCAACTTTTGTCATGGAGTCAATCACAAAAACTATAACATTTGAGGTGTGGATGTATCTGATGGGTAAATGCCTAAGACTGCCTGCCACTCCCATTTTCAGATAAAAAGGTTAAAGGTCAATGTGTCATAAATTAAATTATCACTTATGCTAGGAAATGTGCAGTTTACCATCTAAGCACCAAGAAAAGTGAGGCATGATGCTCTTTGGACAGCTCTTGTTTAAATTTTGCATCAAATATCTTTTCGTCAGGTGCTCTACAAAGCTTAATATTCACTACATAGACTTAGTCATAATGACCTGACCAATAGATGGTTTGGAATTCAGTGATATCATGTGGCATGTACATGTTTAAAATGCACTGCAAGTTGTTTTCGTAATTATTCTGAAATGTTAAAAAAATTATCTTAGTTTTTAAAATTGTGTATGGTTAAATAAAAGTTTTAAATTTGTTCATGTATGATTTCAGGCATTTCTAGGTGACCCACACAGTTGCACGTGTACACAATTCATGAAGGATCGTGACCTGTGTAAACACATATGCTGGCTGCTCCTGAAAAAGTTCCGCGTACCTCAAACCAACCCTAGTATGTAATTTATCATCAACCATTAAGCATTTTTTCACATAAATCTATATACTTATGTCAGGTAATATAAAAATGCTTTTTAACTGTAATAACTATACATGTATGATAAATGATTTAACCATGATATTTACCTGTTTTATTCAACTTCAAAAATATGTTTGTTATTAACACCTTTATCATATGTGTGCTGTCTCCTCTGGCAGCTCTTGTTAAAATGTACAAATAACCACTTGTATGACTGTGTTAAATTTATCAAAGATTTTATTTTCCATTATATTTCAAAGATTGAAATTTATAAGGAATGGACACCTTTTAAATAAGATAAACAATGTCATTATATTTGATATTATATTATATAGGAGATCAGTGGCTTACAACTGATGCCATTGAATATTCATGTTAATACAGTCATACCTGTCTTAAAGACAACCTTGAAGTTGAAATAAAGATCACTTTTCTACATCCTGCCATTGATTAGATATAAGAGAGTGACTTCCAGATAAAGACTACTTGTCTATAAAGACCATGTTTGATCTCTCCTTTATGTGGCCTTTGTTCACAGGTTTTACTGAAGATGTCATCTATGATATAAGCTCCCTGTAAATACCATTAAGAATAAGTCTTTTTTTTTGGGGGGGGGGGGTGTCTACACATCTTAATGCTGTCTTGTGACACCAGCGCTAATCAGCCTGATTAAGAATGGTACACAAAATTTACAATATACTGATTTATTACTAAGCCCTTTTGGAACTTGAAAGTTCTTGCATGGCTTTCCCTCAAATATCAAGTACAAAGGTATTGTGAGCTGAGTAGACAGCTCTGTTGTACAAAATTATATTTATGTAACAGTAAGAAAACTTGTTACACTTTAAGATTGGATATTTTTTTCAAGCACCTTATGTGATATTTGCTATATAACTTACTTACACATAGACTAAGGTGTTGAGTTCTGCAGTGTTTTTTATATTAAATGTTATATAAAGTTGATTGAAGGGGACATTTTAAATAAATAAACACCTTATTTTATCCTCAGTTACAGAGGGTATAAAAGTGACGTGGAATGAAAACTATTTAAGCTACATACATCAATTTATCATATTTCAGTGTCTTGGCAGAAAGGTCTGGTGGAACGAGAAATTAATGAGATCCTGCGTGGTATAACACAGCAGATGAGGAAGAAGGTGCCAACAGCTGTGACACGTTGGAGGCGTCCTATGTCATCTGATAGTGATGCAAGGGAGGTAATCCCTCAACGTGACATTGCTGAAGATGATGTGTGTCCTATATGTCAAGATGAACTGTTGGCTAAACGACTTCCTGTCACATATTGCAAGTTAGTCATTGTTTTTTTTAGTATGTAACATTCACTGTTTTCTTGTATAAAATCAAACTTGCAAAAAGAGATGTCTCTAGGGAAATATCAAAACTTGCAGCTTAGTACAACTGTGCATTTATGTATGTATATATATATGATAATTATACTCCTGCTATAATCTAATTAGTAATTAGAATTAAAAACAAATGACATTTTTAAGTATTAATTGACAAAATGCTATAGGTCTGTTATTTAAAGTTTAATCTTTTTACAGAATCATTATATTCCTCCATTTTGTCTACACCAATGATCTGCGACACTAACTGTTTGTTAGCTCTGTTTAGAGCAATTGTTATTTAGAATAATCAAGCCAAGACTATAATAATCTTTACAACAAATAATTAATAATCTGCTTATTAAGATAAAGGCCAATGCATTGTTTTGTCTTGAATATTAAATGAGCAGCATGTACATATTTACAGTAAGAGGCGTAACACTTCTTTGTATCAATTTCATTTAATTTTACTGTAATATGCTTACAAATTAGAGGTCACTGGTTCAGTATAGTTGACTAAATCATAAGTGTGAATCTTGTTGTATAAAGGTCCTCAAGATATTTAGTTCAGTTTTATACTTTAAGTTATGTGATATTTCCTTTTTTGTACAGATTTGGTTGTGGAAACAGTATTCATATTAAGTGTATGAAAGTATGGGCAGAGCATCAAAAGTCACAAGGGGAGACTACTGTCAAATGTCCATTTTGTAGAGAAGATTTTGGTCCTTTTGAACTGCTGAAGGTAACTGTCATAGATATCATGTAAGGTTTAGATTTGTATCACTTTACCATAATTGATGTATACAGGTTTAGATCTCTATGTATTTACCATGATTAATGTATACAAACTATGTATATATGTAAAAATATACTTTGTAATTGTTCAATGCAGAACAAATATATTTTGAAGTTAATTGATACATGTTTGTTAATGTAAGAATAAAATTCATTTCATAAGTTAATTACAAATTAGATTTTGTTTTTCCAAAACTGAAATGTCATTAAAAATATTGAACACATTTAAGTAATTAAAGTCCATATTTGTGACAAAATAATACATGTTTATTTCAAATATAGCATTATACAGTGATTGAAATGAACTTTGTCTTGTAAATGGTTTACAATATCATGTAGTTTATGATATATGATAATGAAATGATTGATGATTGTAGTATGAGAATCGTAATGCAGAAGGTGCTTCTAACCAGGGTGGTCGTATGGACCGACATTTAGGTGCTACCTGTCAAAGCTGTAGAGTTTCACCTATAGAGGGCAAATGTTACAGGTGAGTTCTGATCTCCCCATTCTACCTGGATATGATTGAATCTTTATTAAATGGTATAATGACTGATTCAGTATCAATTTTTTTTGTTATAATAATATAAACATAAATATGCTACCAGTATTTATTAAGAGTGAAGCCATTTACACATTCTTGTAGGCTTCAAAGTTCTATACTGTCAGTTACTTGAGTTAGTATTTCTATCCTGAAATCTCTAAAAAAATAAAAATGGACAACTCCAACCTAAAATGAGGACAAATCCATTTTGCATCTTTAGCAGACTAAGGATAAAATAAAACTATGTTGTTGAAAATTCAAGTAAAATAATCAAAACATACATAGGTGTAACATTTAATGAACATTTATATATTTTTTTAACCAGTGGTTCAATATTTTTTGTAATGATAATCTTTTATATCTAAAAAAAAAGTGTGTGTATTTTATGCATGCTTATTTCATATTTTTGTAACAACTCCAAATTATGTTTTGTTTTTCAGATGTAGTACATGCACTGACTTTCATCTATGTCAGTCATGTTTCAACACTCCAATACATACACAACATGCCTTTGAATATAGACATGTAAGTATTCTTACTAGCAAAGCCTTCTTCAAACATGCTAAAGGAACAGTCCTGCTTATGAATCTGAGCTGTTTTACCATTTTATTTTTTTACTTTCTGGCAATCTAATTTTAGCACTTTTTATAAAGTTTCTTGCATTAACAACTGTTTCAAATTGTTAAATACTTCTTATAAAAAAAAATGAATCAACATATTTCTCGACATGATGTAACGCGACTATTGAAAAATTTATATTTTACTTTAATTATGGGGAAAAAACACCAACAAAACACTAAAACATTGTTAATAACCTGTAATAAGGGCTTAACTTTTCTTAAGAAATAAATTGAATCTACATCTTTCTCAATTAGGTATATACATGATTTAGTATTTTGTAACTATTCAAAAATTTATATTTTACTTAAATCAAAAGAAAAAAATTAAAATACTAAAACATTACCAACAATGTTTTGTTGATGCATATAATTTAATTATATATAGAATATTTTCAATTTGTATCTTCTGTATCTTGAATTATAATCAGAAGGTTTTAAGCAACAATCATATGCATGGTAAAAGCCCTTGTCTTCCATTTCACCAGTCATATATATAGTGTTTGTTTTTGTGGTTTTAATGCCCATTTTAATGAATTTTTTTGTTATTTCAAGAGTTGATCACCTAACTAATAAACTTCTGTTGGCTAACTTAACTAACTACACGTAGTTATTATCAATTTCTCCTCAGGTTAACTACATGTACTACTAATCCTGTATAATGTCTCTATCAGTGGTGACAGAGACAAATCACCTGTGTCCAAGACTAATTGTCACTTAGAAATTTTGTATTCAATGTCTAAGACTAATTGTCACTTAGAAATTTTGTCATGCTCGAGAATTCAACCAATGACAGTGTCAAAGTATTTATTGTAATATGAGCCGCGCCATGACAAAACCAACATAGTGTGTTTGCGACCAGCATGGATCCAGACCAGTCTGATAAGGATCCATGCTGTTCACTATCAGTTTCTCTACTTGTAATAGGGTTAGTAAACGAATAGAATGGATTCTGATCAGACTGGGCGGATGCGCAGGCTGATCTGGATCCATGCTGGTTGCAAACGCACTATGTTGGTTTTGTCATGGTGCGGCTAATTATTATATTATATGTTATTGTAGAAGAGGAATCAGAGATGGCGTGCAGCAGGTAGAGCTTATGGTGCTGTGTTACCCCAGGCTGTCGTAGATGATCTTGTTAACAGAGATATATCAGATAATGATTATGATCTCCTCATGCAACTTGATGGGTAAATAATTGTTACACTATTCTGTAGATGATACCAGGTACAAACATGGATAAACATGTTACATTATTGTATAGATTATACTAATACACTAAAGTAAAAACTGGGGTTAACATGTTAACATTATTCTACAGAAGATGATAATAGGTACAAACTTGCTCTATTATTGTATAGAAACTCCCTACTTACAAGAACATTCTGCTGCAGGACAAGTAAAGTAATGTGTCCTACTCATCTGACAGGAGAAGTGTAAAGTACTGAAACGATTATATTTAAAGTATGTTTCTGTTTCCTGAAGTAAAACTGGAAACCAAGCCAATATATTGAGATTCATTTGATAAACAAAGGCAAATAAATTAGAGGAACACAGTTCATCTTGTAAATCAGAAATTAAATTCACGAAGGGTAGAGTAACATGCATGACAAGAAGAACTTAGCAAACAGGTTACTGTGTTGAATAAAGTTTGTTGATTTGTTACTGGATTATTGTATAAGTTTTGTGATCTTTTGAGAGTCATTTGAATATATGTTAAATTCTGACAATGATAGTTTTTATTAGCTGGTGTCTGGGATGTAAATGGATTTACTCATTTCATTTTATTTTTTGTCCCAGATTTTATCAACTGAGTTTAAGCCATGCATACAACTCTTTATATTGCTTTTGTTATTATTGCATATGCAAGCATGATCTCTCTGTTTAAAAAAAAATGTTAACTTTATATTTTTTCTAGCAACACGGCAGCTACAGGTAGTGATATACCAGAGGAAGTAATTCAGTCATTCCCATTGGAGAAAATACGTCAGAATGGTCCCCTGCTTCAACCAGGTGTTCAATGCAGGATCTGTCTACATGGTTACCAGTTAGGACAATTTGTTAGAAAACTTCCTAGATGTAAACACAAGGTAAAAAAAAACAGGTCAAAATAAAATCAGTGATTTACAGTAATTTGTTACTTACAAGCAATGAAGTTTTGCGGGCAAATTATAATATTTTACTGTAAAATCAACAGCTAATTTTAACATACAACTACCATGAAGTTCTTAGTAAATACTGATAATGAAGAATTGCATTATTGCACACAAATATTCATCACAGTTGTATAACATTATCAAAGATGAGAATCATTGTTGCATGCCTCAATGCTTATGCATGATATATTTTATCTTTGAGTGTGTGCTTAACTTGACATATAAATTTTGTCAATCAATCTTATTTTTGTTCACTATTTGTTCTTAAACTGGTTACAAAAATAAGATTGACTGACAAAATTTATATGTAAAGTTAAGCATGTATTTAGAAATCAAATATACCATGCAAAAGCGGGGCAAGTAACTATGATTCTCATCTTGGATTATGTTATATCACTGTGATGAAGATTCATAGAATGAATTATTAGGCTTCATATTTACAATTTATGAATATTTCCTGTTCACATTTTCAGTTTCACAAGGACTGTATAGACCAGTGGTTATTGCATTCAAGACCTACCTGTCCTGTAGATGGTCTTGTAGTATGGGATAGAATATCAGCCCAGATGGAAGAAGGTGATTCAAACAACAGAAATAGGTGAAGTTATTTAGAGTTCTCTTACATCTATTATTGGTTTATAACCTTGTTTAAGGATTTGCTCTGGTTTCGTTTTTATGCCCCCACTGTGAGGAATGTGAATTTGCCCTTGTCCATCTGTCATGCTGTCTGTCCATAGACTTACAAATCAGTGGAATGTGAGGCCATTTGTGTCCTATTGACTCATTTCTATTACATTAATGAAGAAGCAAGAAATAAAATTTTGATAAGCTAATGATTTGTGTGGCTAGTTTATGCTATATCATTTGTTTTTCTGACATTTTTCCATTCATAATAATTGGAAAGAAAAATGTAATAGAAATGTATCAGTAGAATAGATAAATGATATAATTAAGCCTTTGAGTAGCAACATTATCGGTTACATGATTTCAGGGCAAAGAAGAGACAAAGCAGTTCAGAGACATCTGTGAATCCCAGTGGTGTAGTTCAATTAGAGATTCCTGGGGTAGGCATTGCTGGGCGTGCCCCAGAGCCTAGGGATGATAATTCTAGACCTCGGGGTCAGGGAAGGGCTCCATTAAGACGTCCCCGAGACAGGGGAGATAGGGAGGCAGAAAGGGTGTTGGGATCTTTACAGAATAACTTTGGTGTAAATGGGACTGCTGTTGGATCTGAAAGGTAGTACTGTCTTGTATGTAAAAAGTATAAATTTTGCATTGTTTATCTTATAATACATGTTTTTGTATATGTCATATACGACATTGAGTAATTTACTTTCTGTTGTAAAGGATCAGTCTTTAGAATATAGAATACGTAATTCACATTGCAAAATGCACCTCTTCACATTCAAATGATTTTTTTTGATTGATAAAAAATCATTCTGATTTTTTGTATATAAAAATTGGATGACGGGTTCTGAGGTTGTATATGATTTATATACCTGTATATTATTAGTTATGAAGATTGTTGATAGGTTATTATATGGCCCTATATAAATGGTTGTTTGTAAATATAACACAAGCCATCAGGTGAGGGTTATATTGCAAACAACCGTGTATAACCATATAACCTGTCAGGAATATTTATAATGAATTTATAATACTGCAAGCTTCTTTTTTTAGTGAAAAAGGTGTGATTTCTTTATAAATTGACAGTAGCCGTGTATATAAAACTATATAAACATCAAGATTATCCAATGAAAAGTGATGTTACAAACGTGCAGTATTGAAATACTGTAAAATCATGTAGCATGAGCCTTATAAAATGGTCTTTTATTATATTTACCTTTTTCTCAAAGTTTTATTATAGGTACAGTGTCATATTCATATTGAAAATTGCAACATTACAGGAATTTAAACAAGCCTTTTTTAGCTCGACTATTCGCAGAATAATCATGCTAATGCAGTCACCCATTTGTCGGCGTCCCTGTGGTTAATTTTTTGTGTGTAAGCTGGTATCTCCATAACTACTGAAGAGAATGGATTGAAACTTCACGCACTTGTTCTCTGTGATTATCTAACATGACTGGCACAAGTCCCATAACTCTGATTTGCTTTTTTGCCTTATTATGCCCCTTTTTTACTTAGAAATTCTTGGTTAAGTTTTGCGTGTAAGCTGGTATCTTAATAACTACTGAAGGGAATGGATTGAAACTTCACACGCTTGTTCTCTGTGATTGTCTAACATGATTGGCACAAGTCCCATAACTCTGATTTGCTTTTTTGCCTAATTATGCCCCTTTTTTACTTAGAAATTCTTGGTTAAGTTTTTGCGTGTAAACTGGTATCTCCATAACTACTGAAGGGAATGGATTGAAACTTCACACACTTGTTCTCTGTGATTATCTAACATGATTTGCACAAGTCCCATAACTCTGATTTGTTTTTTTTACATAATTATACCCCTTTTAGGGCTTAGAAATTCTAGGTAATGTTTTTGCTTGTAAGCTGGTATCTCAATAACTACTGAAGGGTTTGTGCTTTTTTTGGAACAATTTTATGCATTCATAATAATAAAGCAGTGATTAACTCTATAAAAAATCTTAATAACAAGCGTTTGTACCTTTTCGGACAATTTTATGTATTCATATAGGGAAGCATTATTATACTCAATGAAACACCCTTGTGACAATTTTTCGAATAGTCCAGCATTACTGTCCTCCAACAGTTCTTGTTTTATTTTATTGTAAAATGGTTTTGTTTTTTTTTTTAATTTTATTGTAAACTTTTTTTAACAAAACACATAAGAACCCTGTTTTTGTTTCAAATGTATTGAAATAGCAACTTATTATAATGTCATATTACCATGTGTATATTACAGTGATAACCATATAGAAGCCAGTATGAGGTTACCTGGTGGTAGATTGTTACATCGTGCTGATTATCAGAGAGCAGCAATGAGTGACAGACTGGCAGGGATAAATGTCAACCCAGGAGATGATCATTACATGGCAATACAATCAACACAAATAGGTAATCACCAGATATTGTGCTTCCAGATTATCTTTACATTTTTGTGGTTAAATATAGTGTAATACATCACATGTACTTAATTTATTTTTGGATTCATTAATAATTTATTTTATCACAGAAATCATAAAGAAAATATTGCCTTTATCAAGTGTATTGAACATTACTGTTTGTATTGATGTACTGTAAACAAGTATGTTACTATGGCTGCAGCATGTTTCATATCTTACTCTTTTGTTTACCATTTTGAAAAACCTATGATGCCAGATGGAATAATTACAAATTAAAAAACTGGCCAGTCATTTGTGTCCCCAAATATAGTTTTTTTCATGATCTGTTCTTTGCTATGTCATTTGAATTTTCTTTGTTTCTCTAATTTTAATGGCCAGTAATTTGTATCACTAAATTTTTTTTTCATGATTTGTGCTATGCTGATTGAATTTGGTTTGTTATCCTATCTACTCATATTTGAATAACACATGAATTCATATCAACTATTTTCTAAAGAAGCCATTAAATACCTGTAATTTAGAGATAAAATCATGTACATGTATGACAACTATAAAGAATAGATAATTTATTTTTTCAGAAAGAGAAAATATTGACCCGCTAGATCAAGTTGTAGCTGCCAACAGTGATAATTGTCATACTGACCCACATAACCAAGGTCACAGCTATGGGTCACAAGGTCAAAGTTCAAACCATGTACTTCAGGAGAGACAGTTTAACCATGGTTCAATTTTTGCCAGTGATGTTCAAAACTCTACTGATGCTACTGCCACTCTGTTAGCAAATATGGAGAGATTATCACCATATAGAGAACTGCCGAATGTTTTTGCAGAGACCGCCTCTCAACCTTTGCCCTTAGATTCTGTGAGGTCAGGGGATTCTGGTAGAAACGCTGAAAGTCAAAGGTCATTATCTCTTGGTGGGACAGTACCAGATATTCCACCAGAGCAAAGACTGTTTGCTGACTCTGGAACTGGATCAAGCTCACATATTATTTTTGACCAATCACAGACAATGGCCAGGGGCAAAAACTCTGGTCAGTCTAGTTTAAAACAGAGAAGGCAGCAACAAATGGTTTTAAGTGCTCCTTCTTCAAATGCAGGTATTATTATTTCTTTTATCAGAAAACTTTCTTTACTTGTTTTGATTTAAAGTGAGAAAATGCTCATTTCTCCATTGTATTGAACTGAATAACCAAATATGATTTACATATTTCAAAATATTAGATATCAGTGTTATAATGGTAATTGACCAATAATTGATAATGACAAAAGTTAATAAGCTAAAATGTAATAACTGGCTAAAATATAGAAAGTCTGCCCTATTCCTTTTATCAAATGAACATTACTGATAAAGAATATATAAGGATATTAAAAAAAATTCTTTGGAACACATAACTTATTTATTCTATTTGTATAGTAGAATATAAAATTGACAACATTTATGACAAAAATGTAAAATTATTTTGACTTTTACCAGTACCCTCAGCATTTACGCTTGGATGGGCATAATTTTACTTTAGTAATTTGATTACAGTGAGATATTTAATATACTTTTAAATACCTTTTCTTTTAAACTTGATTCATCATGGAAAAGGTCAAACAGAAAAGTCATCTCATTTAATCTATTCAATTTTAGCAAATAATAATTCAGTGTTGGTTTTGCTTAATGTATGATAAGTTTTATTTTGTTGCTATGTTGTATAATGTTCATTGTTGTTGTTGATCATCTTGTAGTTAGTTCTTTATATTAACACTTTTAGCACTCTTTAAGTTTGCATGATTACATAGTTGTTTATCCCTGGCTTTTAACCTTTGCATGTAACATTATTCCTTTGCATGATTAACTAAACATGTGATATTTAAACCAACTTCTTATGGTAGGCTGTTTTTAGACAAGTTTGATATTCTTATTCTACCAATATAAACAGAAGACTTAAATTCCAGTTTTTATTTGCATTTACATATTTATTATATTGGCAATGATATGATTTTCTTAACAAGAATCTTTTTTTTTTTTTTTAAATCTAATTACTTCTCAGTCCATTTTTATAACAAAAATAGACATGTATCAAGTGATATGTGAATGTCATTTGTTGAATTATTCTTTTAGTAAGATTTTATCTTTAATTGTGAGAGTAAATGTAATTGGCAGGCAATAAACAGTTTTGTTTAATTTGAAACATTCTGAGTTGATACCAAAAATAACATTCAAAATAAATTCTTTTCTAAAGGCAAATATAACATGAATCTACTCTCAGACTACACAAGGAAACAGATGTCACATGTTTAGTTACAAACTCTTTCTTAACTTATCTTTTATTTTCTCTAACCTGGTTTTTTGCTTTTTTGTTTCCGTTCATCCCTTCCCCTAGTTGCTGGATTTTCATACCATTTTCCACTCTTGCTATCAGAACGTGGACGTGCAGCACAGAGACGCTGGTCACAAGGAAGTAGTATGACTCGTAACCGTAGTAACAGTAGAGATAGAGGAAGGGACAACAGCATGGAGAGAGGTGCTAATGGTTCCCGCCCACTTGGTAACGGTCCTATACCTAAAGAAGGAGAGAATTTATTAGAAAGACTTACTGTGAGTATATGGACATCTTTTAGTTTATACAGAATTAATTTTAGTACATTTATATAGGAAGCTATAAGCTTTTCTATAGACACACTCTTCAATCTGTTCCTGGAACCAACCAGTATATAGTAATGAATTTAAAATTTTTTGCTCAAGGAAACAACAGCGTGTCCCTGACTTACGCCATGATTGAGCCTTAAAAAAAGAAAGGCATTTACAACTATATATTGTATTTTTGAACAATTCTTTTCCCTTGAGTATCATGATTCAGCACTTTAACTATTTTCTTCTACAGTGTAAGTCTTACTTGTTCAAACCAATATTTAGATGGGAAATTTTAGAAACATTACATAATATTAATGCTGTGTAGAAATAATTCTATTGTGTCATCTCATAAGACTTTTGGACTTCAGTCTAATTAAGGACGGGGTCAAAACTGTAACACCCAACAATATATTTAAAAGATTTACATTACGCATCAGTCTTTATTTTGTCTGATCTACATTGAATAAGTTCACTTATTTCAGGTGTTCAATGTAGGCTGTAAAAGCATCATTATGTCTGTAATATTATTTTCACTTCGAAATCTTCCTTGATTATTTATACAAATAATTTTAATAGTTTCATGTTGTAGCTTGAGGTTAAACATATGTTTTATTATTTGTTACAGCTGTTTACAGATTTATACCTGGGAAACAGTCCCCAGTCTAACCCTCCAGTGTCCGGTCACACCACAAGTACAGGACTACCACCTAGACCTCAACGTAGACCTGTAGATAACCATGCTGCTGCTAGAATGAGGAGATTTGAAAATGATAGACGGAGAAATAACTTCAGTCTAGAAGGAAATGCTTGCTCTGAAATGACCCTCAGGGATCTTTTAGGTTGAAACATATGTTAACATAGATAGTATGTTAATTTGTACTCTATGAGCACCAAACTAAAAACACCAAGAAAGTATTTTATAGATATAAGCTTTGACATCAATTATTGCCTGTTGTTTAATATTTTAGGCAAAGTAAAAAATGGTTAGACTTATTTCATGAAATAACAAATTTAAAAAAGAAAAAAAGGATTAACCTGGCAATTGAATTGTTATATTGTAAATATTTATAGCAGAATACAAAATGTTCTTACTTTGTTGAATATTAATGTTGTATTTTGTGGAGTGAAATGTTTTCTGATGCATGCCAGTCGATGTCACTGTCTTTTATTGTTATTAAATGATAACCAGTATTTATAGTTTTATGGAGGATATTTTTACTAGAAGTAATACAAATTAAATAACTGTGATATTAAAGCAAGCGTGATACAGATTTTAGTTCACATACTAGCATTGTTTTATTTAAAGAATTATAGATTTTAAACTTTGTGATGTTAGCCATGTGTTCAATATAAAACAAGCACTTTTTCTACATGTATTATACATACATTATACATACATACATGTATTATTATGTTATTAGGTAGACAATTGTTTTCATACAGTCATGATTTGTCATCTGTTATATAAGATTGTTATATTTAATGTTTATAAATGTATTCTTAGGACACTAGATACTCTGCAACTTTCTGTGTTTCAGAACTTAGTTAAATAGTTTGAAAATAGTTTGATTTTAATGTAGTTTTGATGGTTATATTGCACACTGGTGAACATTTTTGTAAATGCTGTATAATTTGTAAATGCAATAGAGATCTTAGGCGGCAACTATAAGATCAGATAATAGCTAATAAAATGAACATTTTTCAAATCCTTTCTATGTAAATTTGAAAACTTCTGTTTTTAGGGTGTGTTTTTTCCAAATGTTAACAAAAAATTACAATATTTTTGTATTTTTTGAAAATAAGTATTAAAAGTTAAGGATTCTTTGTTGTTATAAATGAAGGCAAGGTCAGTAAGATATAGAGCATTTTCATAAGTATGTCTTTATTACTCTTGTACGTGGCTTTTTAACTCTGCACATGCTATTTGTGTTCCCTTAAAAATTGTTGTTTCAGTCATTTATTAGGTTTGTTATTATGAATTATTTTACCATCCTGCTTAAATATAAACTGGCATTTTGTATAATAGAATATTTTATTATTATGGTTATGTGATAAAATTTGTGTTTGTTAGGGCATGTGCAAGTTAAATGGTTTAAATTGCTCATTTTGGTTTTTGTGTATATTATATATACATACATATTATATATACATAAGTGTATAATTATATCATTTGTTATGCTTGTTTTGGGTAGGGCGTGTGTTGTTGTATGGTTGCATTGTTCACTTATACTCAAGTTACTGTTTATGTTACCATATTAAACATATATAAGCTGTTAAATCTATATTAAACTAGTAATGATCAACACTTCACATCAAAGTCATGCCCCTTATCTTTATTTACATGTTAACACTTTCTCTACCACTGTGTAAAATCTCATCTGCTTATCAGTAGTTTTTTTTCAAAAAGAAAGGGAATCAGTGGCAATGTAAATACTTCACTTTAAGTTATTTAAGTCTTTATGACGTATGGCTTTGACAGTCAAATTTATCATGACACTTTATTCATGTAAATTTCTTGGTTTCAATATATGTTTGACCATTAATTTTCACACAGTGTTTAGAAATGATCAGATGAAAATATTATTTACAAAATATCAACAATCGACAATATAATTTAAAATAAACTGCATTTCACAGAATGAATATAGAGAGTATGATCATCAAAATGGATGAATACCCTGCTATTTGATATAATACTTTTATTTCCTACATTTAAGTGTTCTAAAAAATGATAACATTTACCTGACAAAATTACTGAACACCTGTTATGTGGCTATGCTTTTAATATGTATTAGCATACTGCATAGAGCTTGTATAATGTATGTGTTTTTGTTTTCACTGGCAGTAGGTATATTATCAGTATTGACGTTTTAATTATTACAAACTGTGATATATTGGTTAAACATTTGTTCATTTTATTACCACTGTAATGTTCTCTGTGTTAAATGATAAATTGGTAGGTAAGTTTATATGTAAAATTTTCAAGGTAATTTACAAGTATCTCATTCAGCTGCTGCCAAATCAATTCACTAAAACACTATTATTGTACCATAACCTGGTTTTAATGGGAATTTCTAACAACTTTTTGATTGCTGCTGTAAACATAGTAAGAGAGAAAAAAGTTTCAACTCTAATTTTACAGTTTTGTATTCACTGTTTTTGCCACAAATATAAAATTTCAAGGTAATGAAATAAATTTGTGCTACAATAAAAGTTTGAAGAGAATGCAATGACTGAATTTTATAGACTAGAGTTACTTCACTCTAGTAATATTAACAAAAAGCATTCCAATTATTTATGTAAAAGATTTTTAGGATGTTTTTATGGCTAAGATTGTATGTTGTTTTAAAACTGTTACTTATAAAATACTATTGTAGGTCTATGTATTATAAAACTACAAATGTAATACGTTTATATGATACTTCCATAATACACAAAAAAAAATTCAAGTGTACAAATCAAAATTTCAGTAAACTTATTAATAAAGTAATGATAAGATCAAGAGATTTGAAGTAGCATCTATCTTTAAAAAATAGACCTGGATTTAGATGTCTTAAATTCAAGTTTTGCTTTCTTTTTAACTCTATTATCTAGTTTTCTTTTTAATACGCATTTTGATACAGTTGCCAATGTGTGAATGACGTAATAGAGTGGTTTTGCTGTGGTAGATGATAAAATTGTTCAATCTTTGAAAATGTATCTTGCTTAGAAATGTTATTTGCGAAATAAAGAAATAGCTTATAAAATTGAAACGATCTGCTGTTGTTACTGAACTCACCTTACTCTTTTAAGCTTGACTATTCAAAGTTTATGAGGAGCTGTCCCGGCATTTGCGCCCAGATTTCTGAATAAAGTTTTTGTGCACTGAAATATTTTGACTATTATCATTTGTTTCTATTTCTGAACGCATTTACTTTAAATGTTAAATATATGCTGCTTCTATTATAACCCACATCATATTTATCAAAGTTCAAAGCCCCAGATGATATATTTTAAGAATTATCCTCAAAATGATGTTAGTTACCTTATCGTCGTTATTTCTAGGATTTACGTCAGACTGACGATAGCTTGTTATACCTTGTATCATAATTTGCATCACACATTTGCTTTCTCATTTATATGCGGGGCCTCGAGTGTTTAAGGTCTTTGACTTCAAAACAGGGTCCATCGTCGCTGTGGGTTCGAATCACGTCAGGAGCTTTAAATTAAAATTTTTCTTCATGTGGTGGAACTATTTGTTTACGGAACGTCTGTGGTTCTACCCAGGTCCGTGTTCGAACCTGTAATAATGCACGGATGGGCACACGAGATTTTTCTCTTCCACTAAAGCTGGAAAGATGTCATATGACCTTTACAGTTTTGGTGCGACGTAATAACCAACCAAAAATGTATGCTTTTAATATGATGTTCAACAATAGTTCCTTTTCTTTACATGTCTTCATTATTCAGCATTGATTTGTCGATATATAATGTTGTCCCCTCTGATAGCTTTTGGTGAGTTTAATTCTGTTATTTGAGGTAATTGAAAGCTGTCCAGCGCCATTTATTCTATATCCAGATTATTGAGTAGCAAAACATAACCCACTTCTTCTACTTCAAGTTCATAAACATTTCATAAATCATAAATTATACGAGATTTTAAAAATAACATATGGCAAATCCTAACTACTACTCCACATTATGCAAGAAATAACGCTGATTCTATCAAAGATTTATTTTTCAAAAAATATTGATATTCAAAGAGTTACATCTTTGTTTAGATAACATACTTACCAACATTCATAACTCATCCTCTTTAATCAATATATCTTAAATGATCCTCCTTTCATGTTTAATATTAATGCGCAATTTACTTCATCAGGTAAATACTTAATTAGTGTTCATAGTGTTCTCTATTGTCACCTATATACAATGTTACGTGTCTTGCGTGGGTGTCTATTACCTTTTACATATTTTTTATTTTATTTTTTTTCAATTTCGTTTGCATTATAGAAGTAGATAAGACAATTTTGAAGAGACTGCTAGAGAGTGTTTTGACTTCTTTATTGTAACAAACATTCTTTCAACCAGTCCCTACTTCCGTAAAGAGCCATTTGTTTATTTGTACTTCACTTTATTTTAGCACGCAACTGCAACCTCGTGCCAGAATAAGTACAAGCTGCCTGGCTTCAGGCGACTACTTTAGAAACTTAGGTTAGACATTTGTGCCCAGATAGGTACATCTAGATATATGTTTCTGTTGATATAATTGTTAGCCAAGAATGATTGTTTGATTGTATATATTTTTTCTTAATTTTTGTTCCGCAATTTTAAAAAAAAAGCAGGTTTTGAACGCTTGTAAAAAGATTAGTTGAATAATTCTAATACGTGTATATCTAATGAATAATCCTATTATAGATAAAATCTTATCTTGTGAAACTTGTGTATGTCTGCATTAATGTTCTACACCTTTTGTAAGTTTCGTATTGCTCTGCTTAGTGTGTTTGGTATTGATACACATACAATCCTGTGCATACACTTGTAGATTTTTAGTTTTTCTTGTGGACGCCATTTTTGTTTTCCATTGAAAAAAGTTGAGCTTTTATCATGATCCACTCGTCATGTAAACCTTGTTATGCATGTCTCTGTCTAAAAAATGACGAATATTTAAAGTTTATGTACGAACGGGCACCTGAGTAAAACCACCGATGTTCCGTAAGCTAGGCACACGAAAGAATCCCTACCGGGATTCGAACCCACAACGGTGTGGGGCAAATGATTTCAAGTGAACGACCTCAGACGCCCCTCAATAATTGTTCCGTCTTGGACCCCATTTTAAAGCGCAGACAGCCTTTTAAGTTCCACGCAGTTAATTACGCATTCTTCCAATTAAAAATTAAGAGTTATTGTTTTTTGGTTCAGTTCAACAGTTCAATTTTATTTAAATATCAAAGATATTATAATTTCTAACTCACTATTCATTCAGTAGATATATATAGGCTAATAGTAGTTCACATCCTTGCCACTATCTAAATAATACTTAACCAATATAAGAATTAAAATTTGTGCAAATGGCTCAAAGCAAAAATATGGCTAATAAATTGCTATAAATAATTATTCATTTGAAGGTGTTTAAGTTCTATCAGATGTTTTATTTGTTTACTTTTAAAGTATTTTTCTTTGATGATTATTGCATGTTTAATAAATCATAAGCAGTTTAAACTATTTACCATTGATGTCAGGTTTAATTGTGCCGCGATCGTTTTGATTTAAATTAATGATACTTAAAAGCCGGAGTTTTAAGATCATTCTAGTATATATTTATAGTTTTATCCTCCACAACCTTACGATATAGTGATTAATATATCTAAAAAAATGTTTGATTTATTTTAAAACTACGGTAAATTAGAATGTAAAAAAAAATCACGTTATAAAATCAAATGCACTTATTTCACCTTAGATCTCGTCAATGACTCGGAAACAAGTTGCAGAACAAAAAAAACACCATACCACTTAGCATATGTATGCGGGCAGACAATTTGCATTGAAATACCTCCGCATCTTTAGACTGATAAGCCAATTCGGCTTGTATACACACCTGTGGAAGGGTAATTACGGACTGAGAGCCAAGCTGTATGAAACACATCTGTGGTTCTCTCAAGTAAAAGGCTGGCTCCTGAGCATTACCTTTATGTGTGTGTTTATTTTATCACTTAATGCTCAGCATAATGAAAAGCAAATACATACTGTCTGTAACCGTGTTAGATATATGGAAGTTATATTTTTGAAATAAAAACTTCATGCTTATTATCTCTACAAGGATTTATTCTATATTTTAATTGTTTGATAAAAGGAAATGTTTGTTGGATTTATTTATTTGTGATTTTTGGATTAATTTGTTAAATAGATAACATGAAGAACGGATGTGTTTGATACAAAATCCCTTTTTATAACAACCGGTACAGATTTTATCTAAACTAGCCGGATATTATCACTGTCTGTATAAGCCGGGGAGGAATCCCTGTATATAGTTTACAGAATGAGTGGACGGAAAAGATCGGAGTACAATATAGTACTATTAGGGGCGCTAGGAGTTGGAAAATCTGGTGAGAATATTTTCATATGTTCCAGTAAATTCTAATAGTTGTCTGCAACTGTTTTATTTTTAATCATATCAACATTAGAAGAAAAGGGATTTGTAGCTTTCTTTGATAAAAATAGTTATAGAACTAATAAGCTAGCGACCCATGACCTCCCCTCACCCTCGCCATAATCCCGTTACCTGGACCTTTTTTAACAGATTATTAACGTTATAAGAATATGAAATAAATGTTGGCGTCTGGATTATTTCAAGAAAACAACATTTTTTATTGAATATGACGAATCTCTCAAGGTAAAACACGTAATAAGAAAGTATAGGCCAATAACAATCCAGTTTTGATGATGGATTATACCGTTAATATGTTAACAACATGCTGGTAAATGAATTGGAAACCTTTTTATTATCTGGTAGCGGACGCTATATTCTTGGCACTATTAAATAGAAGTACTTTGTTTACACTTTTGGCAGCACTTCACACATACTCTATGATGTCATAAATTCTGTTTAATAAATCAAAATAATTCTTGTCTAGAAAAATCATACAAGAAAAGATACACAGGTAGCGTTCACTTTATAGTAAATTTGTTATGTACGCTATCTTTAGGAAACCAGATAAGCATGTTTCAAGGCAAATTAACGGTTCAAAAATTCTCTTATTTCAAGAAAATGCTCGTGAGAAAAAAAAACGAAAAATGAATAAAAGGCATGATAGGCATGGTACTTGTGTTGTAACTAAAGATGGTTGAAATGGAGACAAATTTGTTATACATATATCTAGAAATTGAATATTAAGATTTGTTTACATTTCTAAGAACAGAACTGAACAGAACGTGAATTTATGAAGTGTGGTATACATTTCTTTCAAAATTCACGATACAACAGTTATTATTAAACCTAAATTGAAACTGAATGTAAACTGTATCTATGCATACAGTATCAAGTAAAAGCAATACTATTATAGAGACTAATGCAACTATAAACATGTAGCCTACTTAGACTCTATAACTATAATTTTAATAGTGGAATTTTTTTTTATTATATAATTTCATCGGTGGTTTTGTATTTGGTACCTTATAGTAAGCCTTAGAGTGTTTAATTATTTTTTTCTGAAAAATATCGTGCGGTGTTACACATGTATACATGATTTCCTGTTAGTGTTCAGAGGAAATAAGATATTTCAAACTAAGAGATATGTTAACAGTGTAGTTTACAGTCTGTGTATTTCATCAAGACCAAGAAATGGAAAAACATTAACATTACTGGCATATTATTATGTTAAACATGATATCGATCAGTTTTTGTCAGACAAGCCTTCATATAAGTTGATAATAGCTACATCTAGATTTTACACAGTAAACTGGCACGAAAATATACGAAATACAATTCACATTATTGTTATTATTAAGCAGATCATGTTATGTGTGGAGAGATTTTATTTGCAATAAAACATCCTGCCAAGAAGTATCAGTGTCATAGAGAACAACTAAAGTAATCCTTTTTCTTGTGATTTAATATACCTAACACATGGATGGGTACGCAGTTGGCAAATGCTCTAAACTTCGTCAGAATATAAAGTTTCATTGAATTATCAGTAGGTGCATCTTCACTGATACCAGGTTGTAATTACTGGTATTATATGATTGGAAAATGATAAATTAGAACGTGTGTACAATTTGGAGATATACAGTGTAATTTGTTAGTCACGTATACGAATTTTACCTATATTCAAAGTACTTCCATGTCAATACATGATATTGATCAAACGATTTTGAAAAGACTTAGTACCACATACGATTTATTTAAAACCTTATTAAATATGACCAATGAACTTTCAGAGTTTGCATCACGTGATGTTCAATTAAAAATAATTATTAGAGACAATGTTATCAATTTAGCCACTTTCTCATTTAAAGAGCCCCAAAAGTCAAATGCAATCATTTCAGTCTAAAGAATATAATATCAAAAATATGTCATACTTCATTTAGCCTAATTTCATTTTTGTGTGTCCAAAAAATCTATATCGATCACATCTTTTGTACTTAGAGTAACAAAGTGATATACTGTTGAAAGCAATACTGATTCTATTGAGTATCTAATTTGACTGCGTTAAAATAATATAAGGTTTTTGTATGTTATGAAGTACCATAACTTGCTTTCATAAAGACAAATATTAAAGCCATGAAAAGTTTATTATTATTACACCATTGCGCTACTATCACCATTATAACACCAGTGATAGCAAAATACATATTTTTCCTGAATATAAATAATTTAAATTTTGTCTTTTTACTACTAAAAATGTCAGAACACACAAAAAACAACGAAAAAAAAGATGTGGTAGACAAGACAAGTTTTATTTGCACATATGTTTCGAATTGAATTTGCACATGAAAGTTTGGTGCATCATTTAATAAGTCGTCTTTATATAATTCATTCAACATGTACTATATGTCTAAAACGTATACGGTAATTACGAATGGGTATGATTATAATGAGTTTTAGATAGTCAGTAAACAGACGTTATACAGTCACTTTGTTGCCAAATATGTTGCCGTCAGCAATGATTATTATGTTTTCCTTACTGTCTATTATTTTACTATCATCGACAACAATTAAACCAACATTAATTACATAAACACTTTTCATCTATTTCATAACAAGGTAGCTTGTTTACTCTTTTGACACTTCTTTCCTCTACATTTAGTTAATGATGTAAAAGTCTGCTTAATAAATCAACGTATAGGTTTTATGAAGCTTGGTTTGTTGTTGTTTTGTTTTCCTTCCTTCTACTTTAATGTCTCGTCTAAATGACTATGTTGATTGAACCCGACTTACTGCAAGCATGATAGAAGAATTATCTTATTATACTCTTGTTTAAAGGTTAGGTAGTATGAAGATATTGAATGAGTATTTCATTAAACTATTATATCTTTAATGTTTTTGTGGAGAAAGAGTTATCCCTCGGAAGCATTCACAACAAAATTACATGGAAATTGCAGACTTGGTTTGATTGAATCTATATGTACTCAATGCTCAACACTTAATAATGCTGGCATCAATGATCCCGAAGGACCAGAAAAATATAACAACACTGAAGTGAAGTATGGGGCAACTTTTTACAGCTGCCACACAGCACTTGCCACCTGCTGTTGTGAAGTTTAAAATTCGGTAACAAAGTGATCCCTCTGAAGCATTAATCACAACAAAAGTATATGGAAATTGCAGACTCGGTTTGATTTAGTCTGTACGTGAGGGATAATGTATAAATGCAAATGTAATAAATCCGTCACGCCCCCTAGCACCGGCTTGAGCGGTACTCAATTGTCAACAAATGCTGGCATCAATGATCATTTCGCACTTTAGAAATGGCTTTCTGTAATATTTCGAAAAAGTGGACGATATACACAAATAAACTTTTATATTCAATGCAAATATTAATGTTACCTTCTATAATCGTCGAAGGGTTTTTATAAAGTTCTCTCTTGTGGTTGAGACTGTAAAAACACACAGAGGCAGCAAAATAAATAAATAATCAACACAAAGACAGAAGTTAGGTTTTCACTCTACAACTGTAATTCAAATCTTCAGTGCATTTCATAAATATACAAAACCGTCAAAATCATGAAACAAACGATGAATGAGAAAATGAAGAATGAATATATATCAATACACATATATAAGTAAATTACCTGTAAAAACACACAGAGGCAGCAAAATAAATAAATAATCAACACAAAGACAGAAGTTAGGTTTTCACTCTACAACTGTAATTCAAATCTGCCGTGCGCATGCGTGGCGGAAAATCATGAGCGAAAAAATGAGGCCCGTCACCAGTTGCTATAGTTAGTGTCTGATATATGATGAATGATATAATGAGGCTATGGGAGTAAATATGAGATGAAAAATGGATGGATAAGGAAGAATATATTTATAAGAAATGCACTATATCTCATATTGGATATAATAATGGTAAAGTATATACATGTATATATAATGACAAATGACCCTGTGACATTAATTAATAATTAATGTAATTAGAGTGTTACTAAACTCCAATTCATCAAATGATGTGACAGCATGTATATAAGCTTTTGCTGGGTGCATACCTATGGTTCATTGTGACTAGGTACTAGTACTGTTGGGACAGTGGTTAGTGAAGGTCCCTTTCACTTCTTGACCTTTCATTTTATATACGAAGATACTATTTAGAAAAAAAACAACCTTATTACTACCTTTACACACTGTATCTTGTTAAATTGTTACATACGAAAACTACTGTCCCCACCTGTTCCATATATTTCTTTCATTATAGCTATAGTCATTCTATGTTATTGGATATAGTTTGAATATATAATTAAAATGCCCACAATTAGAAAAAATCTTTTTGATCATGCTGTTGCATTTATGTGACCTGATTCTAAATAAAAGTATTTGTTGTTGTTGTTGTTGTTGTATAATCTTCTTTATTGTAAATATCAAGTCTGGTTTATATTAGATTTTTACATATTTTCTTCTTTTTCAGCATTGACAGTGAAATACATTACAAAAAGATTCATCATGGAGTATGATCCATATATAGGTAAAATTTTAAAGTCAAAAAATTTCTTACAATCTATTTTCACTTAGTAGATCAAGTAACTCCCTTTACCATTTTTCCCAACATTAAACTAAAGTCCCAAATCATTTTGATCTCAATAATGAATAAATATATCAATACTAAATACTAGTACATTTGTTCACCAATAACCGTTTGTTTTATTCACCATTTGTTGGGTGAAGTACTTTTCCGATGTGTACGCTTAAAATTTCAATTGTATTGCAGTAACCTTTTTACTATTATTTTTATTATCATTGTTGTTCTTTATTTCTAAAGAGGATATTTATACTAAACACGAAGATGTTGATGGACAGGAGTTCATTGTAAACGTAATGGACACGTATGAAAAGGTAAATTATATAACGTTTTACTCTTCAAACGTAGAAGAAAACAATTAAAGGTATACCACACCTCATGAAGGTAAAAAGATGGAACGACAGAAAATGAGAAATTAATAACCTTAGAAGAAAAAATGAAAAGAAAAACAAAAAACTCGATGATTAAAACATGTTTCATATATGACATATGTATTTACATCAGTGTGTGTGGCAATATGATGGTTAAAGTCATGGTTCGGAAGCATATAAATTTTTATGCATAAGAACGCATGTATCTTTTACCTTTAATATTTTCATATAATCTGCATTTTATAAATGATGTAAAAATTTACGCAAAACTATATTCGTTTATGTACCAGTTTTAGTAAATTTGATTTGCTAAGTTTGATTGAAAGCAGTTGACAAAAGGCACGAAAGCATATGATATCGACCACACTACACCTATCAATCAATCAAACTATAGTATTTAAGTGTGTGAAATCAAAGTAAAGTATATATAATGCATCATCAAAGTTAACATAACGCACCAAAGTAAAATGTACATAATATAAATAAACAGAGACCAATTTATATGTGCAATAATGATAATGTTGTAGACTTTCCTAAAACCATACACTCCATTATTTAATGATAAGAGCTGTAAGTATGTAATATTATCAATCACAATTTCAGGATGATTCAAACAGTCAGAGATATTTGAGATGGGCGGACGCGTTTATTGTTGTGTACAGCATAACAGATAGACCTAGTTTTGAGATAGCTCGGCAGTACCTGCAGAAAGTCTCTGAACATTTACGTATCTCCAATAAAGATTGCCCTATTGCCCTCGTAGGCAATAAAAGTGATCTCGAGCGTTACAGGTATTATACTTCATAGTTAAATACAATGTTGAATAGACACAAACTTCTGATAATTATTCACTTTTATTTCATCTCCATGATAGGGAGTGGAAGTTTTTAAGAGTTGAAAGATCATATATAATAATCACATGGAACAGAATGTGAACATTTTGTTAGAGGGAAACGTTTTCATGCTTTTGAATGCAAAATTTATAAGCAATATATGTACCAAAATCTGTTAATATGTGTTGGCTTTACAATGAAATACTTGTATTTGACATGTTTTAGGTTGACACGAGAATATCCGAATGTAAAAGACCAATGAAAAAAATGACACATATATAATATTAACAATTTAGTACTTCATCCTACATTATTCATTATCAACTTTCAACTTAAAGTAAATTATCGTTAAGCTATCACATTTTTGCATATTTTGACACTAATTAAATGCGCTTATGTTTTACTTCCAGTAGTTTTTTTTTTCTTTCATTAAGTTCACAAGTTCGTGTAAATATAATTATGTTAGAGTGATTAACTTCAACTACATAAAAATATATGTTTTAGTACATGTATATTACAACAAATAATATGATCTATAACTAATGATACCATCTATTTACAGACAAATTAGTAAAGCTGATGGTCAAACATTATCGTGTGAATACGATGGTATATTTTACGAGTGTTCGGCAGCTGAGGAGTATGAATATGTAGAAGACATTTTCTATGGACTTGTACATTCAATACAACGGCAACGAGGAGAACGAAGTCTAGCTTATTCACCATTGTTTATAACGGAGGACAAATATCACTCTATGCAAAGAAATAGACCACGCTCGCCAAGAAGTAGTACGGAAAAGAAAGAAGACAAAGCACAGAATAAGAAAAATCCGACCAGCTTTAAACTGTTCAATAAAAGTTTTAAGATATTCAATTAACGAAACAGTGCAGTGCTAAAACGCAAAACAAAGTGTGGAAAACCCTCTACGTAAAGGAAGTGTATAAATGAAAAATTTATATCATTCGAATGGAGTTATAGAAGTTCCTAGATGTGATTGCTGATTGAATAAACCAGACCAAACAAATTAAAAGGATATCAAATAATAATACCGCTCCGGTGTAATTAAGATAAACGTATTCTTTGTAATTGACTTTTACGATTGTACTAAAAAGAAAAATGATGACTTTGTAAATAATGAAAGTACAAATAGTACTAGTATATTATGTTTCTTGAAATATTAGCGCTGGCGCTACAAATGAATTCCAAACTTGCAGACATAAAAATATGATAAAACAAGTATAATTATCAATCAGTGGGTATGTTCCAAATATGTTGACAAGATTTAAAATGTTATAAAATTTGCTTAGAATTTAAAACAATGAATATTATGATTACATAATATGCTTGATATTTTTATGCATATTATATGATATGTAACTTTTATTTGTTTCAATATTGAATTGCTGTTAAGATGTGAGAATTTTTTAAATGCCCATACCAAGTTTAAAAAATAATAAGGAGGGGACTGGAAGCCTAGAACACTTACTGAAATTAAATTACTATAACTATTTTTGCACCAAATATTTTATTTTCCGATGTTATGTCATATTCTTTCGATGTTATTATATTCAAACTAAACAAATACTGACCATCTATCGTATATTTTATTCCAGTGTAAAATCATCAGAGTTATATTCCTTTAACTTTCACCTAACACGCAATTTTATATTCAAGTCTGTAGGACGACTGTCTTCATGATTATAAGGACATTCAGAATTTTGATCTAGTCAAAGTGACTGGAGTAACCTGGGATTGTAAGATTCTTAAACTTTAATGAAAACATATGCAGTTGAAATATAGATTTTAAATAAACGATATTTTTCTTACTCGACTTCGTTTTTATTGACGTATTATAAAAGAGTACAGTAAATTGAGCGAGAAACTTCTGTTAAACTTTGAAGTTACTACAGATAATGCCAATCATTCCTGCTAAATTGATGAGTACATAAATAGATGACTTATTCTTCTTACAACAAACTTTTTTAAAGTGTTCCAGAAACAATTTATTATTGTTGTGGCATTACATAGACAAATATTGTTTTGGCAACGAACTTTGGCAAAAGTCATATTTCAAAAATGGCTAAAAATATTTCAAAGAAGAATATTTTCCGAGAATCGAGTTTCCTACCTTTAAAGAATCAATTTACTATTTATGTTCCAAATACCATACCTGTACACGTATAAAGGTGTGTCAGAAACGTTTTCTTTCAATGTATGTACTTTGTTATAAAACCAAAGTATATATATTGTGTTCTTACTGTTTTGATATTCTGTTGTGTTATTTTTTATTACAGAACAGAACAGAAAATTATTTGTTAAACTTGAACATTTACAGTTAATTATTACATACATTTACATTTATAATTAACGTTAAGTAATGTTGCTTTGTTTTGTATTATATAATACTATTTTCACATCGTAGTCTATGAAACAGATTTGTTAACTAGTTCACATACTTTCGAGAAGTAACTTATACTTTTAAACTCAGATTTCTTTTAAACTCACATATGTTGGGTAATGACATTACGTGTCAATTTTGTATTTCATTAACAGAAGATGAAAAGTATTCACTTAAACATTTCTTGCATACCTTCATGTTCCATGTGAGGCCAATCAGTCTTCGACAGACCATTAGAGAAATATTATATTATCTATATTTCACGAAGAAATAAATCGAATATTATAAGCTTCATTGTTTGATAAATGAGAGGATCATTCTATGAGTTGAGAGATTTTAATTGCCATAAAACTTGCTGCCAAGAAGTGTCAGTGATACGAAAACGCAATAAAGGAATTATAATATACATTAACACACACACAGAGGAATACGAAACAAATATTGCACCTGTTGAAAATACTTCTAACATGTTGCAGCTTTAGTTTACATTAAAATAATATAAATTATCCTGCTAAACAATCTACATATGATATATGATAAAACTACACTGTGCTGATTTCCGTTGTTCAAAATGAACAAACTATCAACGATCTAGTAAAATAACATATTTGTTCCCTTCATAACAATTTTATGAGAGTCCTGTTACTAAATTGTATCCAGGAAAATGCAAGTCGGTAAAGTTGAACAGAATAAATAAAAACCATGTCGACAAACTCATCAAAGTTATAAACGATCAACTTTTTACCAGCATTTCATTGTTTTATTTATTTATTTATTTATTTATTTTTGTTTAATAATTTTTCATTTATTTTTTTTGAAGGGGTGCAAACGTGGGTGTTGTTGTTTTCTAAATATAGCAGAATATAAAACATATTACCTAATACATATGAACGTCGGTGTGCTATCAAACGATTGTTATGTTTACAGATGTTCCATGCCAGTACTAATTATCAAAAGCTATGTGAATTAATAAGGCATACTACATTCACTAGGTTTCTTACAACATATCTTGTTTACACTTCTGGCAAATGTGTATCCTCCATTTACAAAACAATATAAATAATTCTGCGTAATAACTAAACTTGTCAATTATAATAAGCATAGTTTGTTGTCGTTTTTGTTTTGTTTACATTGTTCCCTTGTATCACGATACAGTAGCATGATACTTACATGTAGATAAAATTGTAATGTGCGCATGTCTTTCTAAGTTAAAATATCCATTGTATCATATCTAAAAAATTGTTATACCATCACAGTGACTAGATCTTGACATAAATAATATTTAGGTCTTAAAATGAGTATTATTTCATAAGTCACCTGACTTCAAATATGTAATAAACAAATTAAAAACGATTGCAAGTTTTTGAAACTACTTTTCTGTTCAAACATTTGAACCAGACATTGAAAATATATAAAAAGATATGTATCAACACTTCCGGATTATATCACGATACGGTATCGTGACGGCAATAATCACGAGTCATCGGTGTATCGATGATATTGGACCACAATTCATTACTACATATTTCGAATCTTGCATTCTTTAAAGAGATAATAATGAGCAAAAAAAATAAATGTAACAAAAAGGGTTCGGAATATATTATTTAACCTTTTACCCCATGAGCATATTGCGAAAAATGGCCGTTTTCATTGAAAAGCCTCCTGTAACAAGTTCAAACTGCTATGAAACTATGAAAAATGCTTCAATACTAATGAAACTTGGCACAAATCTTGACTACACCATAGCCTCTGTAACAGCATGCTCAATGGTAAATTTCCTGTTACCATGGCAACGGCGGGACGTCTCAAAATTGCCAAAAATCACTATTTTGCATTGTTTTTTTCCATCAAAACTGATTTCAAAGTACTGCAACTTCTCAATGAATTGAGATAGAGAAAAAGGCTTTTCAGCGTCGGTTACTAGTTACCCTAAGATCGACCTGAGGCCATTTTTAGCCTGTCACATGTCCACAATTTTCTTGGCGATGAGGGGGACTCCCCCCCCCCTTCAAATCCCCCAATTTCTCAAACGGAAAACAGTGTTTGGGGCCTAAATAGGGCATTTTTTTCACTGTTTGAGGCCTCAAAAAGGGGGGGGGCAAAAAGCCGTCGAAACACGCTTATATTAGGGAAAAGGTTAAAATACCAAGAAATTCAAATAAATGGAATTACATCAGATTTAGGTTAAAATGATTAACTCTCATTTGCATTTTCAGATAAAGTATCTTAAGTTTATGTAAAACTTCACATATCTAAATTAATTTATAAAAAAAATCATTTTGGTATTGATATCGTTTGATTTTATAAATTTTATGCTAGCAAATTTTACGAAGAATATTTGTAAAATAATCCATTTGTAAAGAGAAAGATCTTCCATTCTCTGTGATTTCTGTTCAACAGCTGTTGTTAATGGTATGATTAAATGGTTATTAAATTTACTCAAAAACATTTTTCGATGATATATTTGAAACCCGTAATGAAAATACATAAATCTTAAAATACAACTTTATAGCTGTTAAAGGGCCACGGTATAAAATCAATCATAATTGTATGAAACGCTTTTGTTGTTTATCAACATTTATCCCAATTTGTTGTTGTTCTAATTGGGTTTTGAATATTTATATAATATAACATTTTCATACGATTGTTACACAAGCTCCTGTGTAATTTTCATATGTATGTAGCTTTTTTATATGACTGTATCAATTAGAATTTATTTTATATTAAGAATTTGAGATCATTTTGCAGATATCTAATTATATTATATTGTATTAATACAGTTTTTGCAGATCTTTAAATTCACAAGTGCCGTCGTGGAAACTCGCAATTTGTAAACTATCTAAGAACGGAATACTCTGTTTATATTGTCATCTTTTTTATCAAAACTTCATTTCAGATTTGAAATTGGTTAACAGATTCGTCAGATAGTATTGAAAGATATGCTGTCAGCTACCTAAAGACTTTATTTTTGTCCGTCTTTCTTTTCAACAAACAACTTTGGTTTTAAAAAAGAACCGTTTTTATATTTTGGTCGGCGTCAATGCATGTTAATTTCGAAGTGGAGAATGAAGGATAGTTAGATCTTGATATCAATTATATATTTTTTATTCCGACATTCTCCATCTCTTTCACATTTTTGTATTCTCTATCAGACAGGTGTTCCTCTTTCATTTCTACAAGTTAAGATTCCAAAGAGATTCAAGTATGTTAGAGTATTATAGTGGGACTGAAACATTCCTGCGCTGCACACAAGAGAATTAAAAGTATTGTTCGCTGCTAAGGTAAATGGTCCATACCATTATGTTTACATAATTCTTTGACAGGTTATAAATTATAAATAAAATTGATATGCTCTAAACTTTTCTATTGTACTTTGTATAGTTCTTATCAACCGGAGAACTTTTACATTGGAAACATCTGTAAAAGTGATTTGTAACATACAAAGGGCGTAAACAAACGCGGTCTTTTACACTTTCAATTGCTAATGATGCTTTTAACGTTTTGAAACGTTTAAGAGATAAATGAAAGTTTCCAGAAATAGGGTTCAATTATCCCTGTGTTTGATTTTATAAAACATAACAAGGTTCATGTTCTTAGGATGGTTTTTGGCATTCGTTTATTACATGTAATAATGACTTGAAACAAATGTTTACCTCCCATGACTATAACGATTTATTTATTTATTTATTTAAGATACAAACATATGTCACAGGGTGAGAAAAATGTGCAGCCTGACCGGGACTCGAAACCGGGACCCTCGGAATACCGTACCGCGGCTCTACCGACTGAGCTATCCGGCCGCTTACACATCTTCTCCCCTAAATAGTGAACAGTTCTGAACCGTGATATACTTCACCACAATATTGAAATTCGTCCTCGAATTTCACAGAGTTACAGAGCAACGTGAAATAAACTCTGAGCTATATTCAGTCACGGCCCCACGTTGGGCGCCAAATGTCACAGGGTGAGAAAAATGTGCAGCCTGACCGGGACTCGAACCCGGGACCCTCGGAATACCGTACCGCGGCTCTACCGACTGAGCTATCCGGCCGCACATCTTCTCCCCCTATATAGTGAACAGTTCTGAACCGTGACATACTCCCCTGCTATATTGAAATTCGTCCTCGAATTTCACAGAGTTACAGAGCAATGTAAATTAAACTCTGAGCTATATCAGTCACGGCCCCACGTTGGGCGCCAAATGTCACAGGGTGAGAAAAATGTGCAGCCTGACCGGGACTCGAACCCGGGACCCTCGGAATACCGTTCCGCGGCTCTACCGACTGAGCTATCCGGCCGCTTACACATCTCCTCCCCTAAATAGTGAACAGTTCTGAAACGTGACACATATAATATTTAATATTTATTAACATATCTTTAGGCAAGAAGTGTTTTTAATATAAATTATCATTTAATATCGAAAATCAAGTCAGACAATATTTTCATCTTCAAACGTAACTTTATATTCAAACCAGCTATATATAAATATTCATAAGTTGACACAGATGTAACACATCTTCTGTAATAGCTTATATAGCAAGGTATTCTATTTGATAATGTTTTACTACAGATTGAAAGAACTAATTTCAACCGTAAGTTTGTAAATGTAAATTAAATTCCATAAATGTATTACAATTTCTGTTTTACGTGATACTGACACTTTTTGGCAGATGTTTTTATTGCTAATAAAATCAATCCACAGATAAAATGATCAACTAAAATAAATCGCAGGCATGTATTTCCAACGAATGAAAACTCATTAAAAGTATATAAGATTCCTTTATATTATATTCTGACATTCTTTGTTCTTCCTTGTGATAAGCGTGATAATATGTCAATGATGATAAATTTACCATTTCCCTGCCAGGATAAATCCATATAGATTACACAAATTGATTTTAAAATGCATAAATAAATCTTAAAAACTCGCCATAAGCTCACGTCATAACGCCTTCCTTAACTCGTAATAGTTATACTATAACGACTCTGTTGTCTCGAATCACCATACCCAGGTAATAATATTTCCATATAACAGCAGAGTACGATTTACTGTAAATGATTTATCGAATGATGAACAAAATGAGAATTCTGATCAGACGAGGACATTCTTTTCGTTTTTGCTTTTCCCTGAATGAGTTAGATAATCCGTGCAGAAACTAAGAAACTATTGTCTGGTGGGGTACATGTTCTCTCATAAAATGTTTATTTACGATAAAATATCAATTGGTTTTTCCTTGTTCTGAAAAAAATATCAAATAAATTATGTAACTTATGATAATAATAATAATGATGATGATGATGATAACTAGAACTGCCATTGGCCTAAGACATCCCCGCACACCTCTTTGTCAATATGGTATTGTGATGTTTTATGTTGTTACATCATACTGACTAAAATATAGCTCAACACAAAACATACGAATAGAAAATTACAAAGGGCAATATACCTGCAAAATTATATAAAAGATAGTGGAGAGTTTGAGTAATGTGAACGTTAACCAATAAAGCTGATACCTCCAATGCTTTTTTTCAGTTATGCCCTGGACAATAATGAAGTGTAAAAATCACAATTGGCAGTTTAGTCTAAAATTATTTTAGAAACGCTTATGGCTTAAAGGCAATATAAACATGTAGTAGACTCTTAATGCAAAACATTTGGAAAAATAAACATTTAATGAATTAACATAATAAGCACATCCGAATATATTGTATCAAAACCAGTAGCTTCTGTGATAGCAACAATTAAAGACTCACAAAAACACTCAACGTTCTGAATAATATCGTGCGGTTTTACACATGTAAATGATTTCCTGTTAGTGTTCAAAAGAAATAAGATATTTCAAACTAAGAGATACGTTAACAGCGTAGTTTAGAGTCTGTGAATTTCATCAAGACCAAGAAATGGGAAATTCTTCATTAACATTACTGGCATATTATTATGTTAAACATGATTTCGATCAGTTTTGTCAGACTATTAATGAAAGCCTTCATATAAGTTGATAACAGCTTCATCTAGATTTTACACAGTAAACCGGCACGAAAATATACGAAATACAATTCACATTATTGTTATTATTAAGCAGATCATGTTATGTGTGGAGAGATTTTATTTTCAATAAAACATCCTGCCAAGAAGTGTCAGTGTCATTGAGAACAACTAAAGTAATCCGTTTTCTTGTGATTTAATATCCCTAACACATGGATGGGTACGAAGTTGGCAAATGTTCTAAGCTTCGGTATAATATAGTTTCATTGAATTATCAGTTAAAGTATCTTCACTGATAGCAGGTTGTAAATACTGGTATTATATGATTGGAAAATGATAAATTAGTACGTGTGTACAATTTGGAGATGTACTGTATAATTTGTTATGATATTGATCATACGATAAAAGACTTAGTACCACATACGATTTATTTAACACCTTATTAAATATAACCAATGAACTTTCACGTGATGTTCCAATAAAAATAATTATTAGATCCAATGTTATCAATTTTGCCACTTTTTCATTTTAAGAGCCCCAAAAGTCAATATCAAATGCATATCATTTTCAGTCTAAAGACTGTATGTCACACTCCATTTAGCCTCATTTCATTTTTGAGTGTCCAAAAATCTACATCGAATAGTAACAAAGTGGGTCGTTATATATTGTTGAAAACAATACTGATTTTATTGTACTCGCGAGTAGTCCATTGTGTATCTAATTTGACTGCGTTTGAATAATATAAGGTTTTTGTATGCAATCAAATGCCATAACTTGCTTTCATAAAGAAAAAGATTAAAGCCTTGAAGGTGTTTTATAATTACACCATTGCACTACTATTACCATTATATCACCAGTGATAGCAAAATACATATTTTTCCTGAATATCAATAATTTAAATTTTGTCTTTCAACTACTAAAAATGTCAGAACACACAAAAAACGGAAAAGAATGATATGGTAGACACGTTTGCACATCTGTTTCTAATTGAATTTGCACATGAAATTTTGGTGCAATGTTAGCATCATTTAATAAATCGTCTTTATATATAATTCATTCAATGTGTACTATATGTTTATAACGTATACAGTAATTACGAATGGGTATGATTATAATAAGTTTTAGATAGTCAGTAAACAGACGTTATTTAGTCACTTTGTTGCCAAATATGTTGCCCTCATCAAATGATTATGTCTATTATTTTTCTATCATCTACAACAATTAAACCAGCATTAATTACATAAACACTTTTCAAGGTAGCTTGTTTACACTTTTGACATTTTTTCCTCTACATTTAGTTAATGATGTAATTTAAAGTCTGCTTAATAAATCAACGTATAGGTTTAAGAAGCTTGGTTTGTTGTTGTTTTGTTTTCCTTCCTTCTACTTTAATGTCTAGTCTAAATGACTATGTTGATTGAACCCGACTTACTGCAAGCCTGATAGAAGAATTATCTAATTATAATCTGTGGTAAAGGTTAGGTAGTATGAAGATATTGAATGAGTATTTCATTAAACTAAAAATAATACCTGTTTAAATATCTTTTTTATGTTTTGATAATTATAATGTTAACAAAAAAGTAGAAACAAGTTAAATTGTATAAAAGCAAGGCTTTATAGTTATTTCACAACCAGCAATTTTACGAAATTCTATTTATATAATTATCATGTTTTTGTGGAGACAGAGTTATCCCTCGTAAGCATTCACAACAAATTAACATGGAAATTGCAGACTTGGTCTGTTTGAATCTATATGAGGGATAATAAAAAGTGCAACAGCCGCCATGAACCCCTAGCACCGGCTTGAGCGGTACTGAATTTTCAACACTTTAAAGCGCTGGAATCAATGACCCCAAAGCACCAGAAAGATATAACAAAACCAAATTTTACACTGCAAACTTTATAAGATTTTATACAGTATTTTTCTTGGGAGATGATTAGTTAGAACGCATGATAAAACTTTCATATTAGTCTCATTATACATGTATAGTGTACTTTAAAAGAAGAAAAATGAACTGTTGATATTGATAGATGGATTAATTACTTCCACCAATTATTTTCAGTGATTTTGTTAAGTTCTGCATGTAACATACCTTTAAGAGTTGTTTAAATTGGCTGCCACGTGTTACAGGAAACTGCCAAAGATCAAGCATTTACTATTCCACTCGTTCAAGAAAAAGAACTGCAAAATAGTCCGATATTCCCCTTAGTACGATTGATTTTGGTTCAGCATTCTAGAGATGTACCCAAAAAATATCTTAAAGGAAAATAATTACTGGTACACTTAAAGTTACATTAAATAAATATGTAAAAATATTTTGCCGTCGGCCTAAAAATCAAACATTCTACAGTTTCATTAACCTGTTTAATAGTATTGTTGTAAATCTCATCAAATATTGTTCATAAATTAGGATTTTAAACGGGAAACCCCACGGTAACACTAAAGTTCGTATACGAATTTTAACATGCAAATGAAGACTATAATGAGCTCGTGTATGCGCTACGTCACAGTTTTATAGTTGCTATCCGGAACACAGCAAAAGTGATATTTTCTTGTGCAAACACACTTTAACCGTTTAAGCTTCACGGTGCACTAAACCTGGGGTTCAGTAAAAGTAATCATCTCGTAAAAAGATTAAATTTGTATGAAAACATCCGTTACAATGCGGAAATATACCGTTAAATTAGGACTGCCACTTACAGTCATGTTTGTTGATTTAATATTGATGTACGGATGATCCGAAGGCGGAGTTTCTCATGCAAACAGAAATTGTACTTCCCATTTCACCACAATGAGGTTACCTATTTTCATGCTAATAAAACTCATTTTGGTTGTTTGGGCACTAAAATAAGACCTGGAGTCGATATAAAACCAAATTTATTAATGAAATGTCGCTATTTAGTTTTTTATGAAATTTATTAAATGTAACTTTAAGTTTTCCAAATTACAGAGTTTTGACGAACTTAATTTTCACTGACAGAGTGGATAGTCTTTTTAAATAATTATGTCAAACAATGGAAACATCCGCTTACATGATAAGTATCATACAAAATGCTTTTCCGTAAAACATTCTATTCCTAATAAAGCCTTTATAGTTTTAAAATATTGATAAATGGAATGTTTTAAAATAATTAAATAATGAAACTTTCTAACGTTTTTAATCATTCTGATAAAATAAAGAAATTATACATAATCGTATATCATATATAAAGTCATTTTTTTAATCATGTTGTACAAGGTAGAAGAAATGTATATGAAGGAAACTAAATTGTTCATTATTTTTTATTTACCTAATATATGTAGTACAACTGAATCATTTGTTCTATCGATTGCATTGCAGTAACTCAAAGTTAATACTAAATTTCTAGTATAATTAGCACTTTAAAAATTACGTTTTGTTATGATCCTAAGTGGTGGAAGATATCAAGTAAACTTATAAATTCAAATACAAAAAAAAAATTATTGTAATTAGAGTGTTACTATATTCCAATTGATCAAATGATGCGACATCATGCATACTAGATTCTGTTGGAAGATTAGTCACTGTTCTTTGTGACTGGGTACTGTTAGGGTTGTTGAAAGCCGCTTTCCCTCGTTGACCTTTCCTTTTTATTTATTAATCTTTATTTTATTTTAACTTTTTAATTTTTAAATTTCTTTTGTTTTATTGTGAATATCATTTTGTCTTCTGAACACCAAAATCTGCATTATACAAGTAATTTGTACATATTTGTCTATTTTCAGCTTTGACAGTGAAATACATTACAAAAAGATTCATCATGGAGTATGATCCATATATAGGTAAGATTTTAAAGTCAAATAATTTCTCTTACAATCCATTTTCACTTTGTAGATCAAGTAACTGCGTTTACCTTTTTTTTCAACAGCAAACTATAGACCCAAACCATTTTGATCTCAATATTGAATAACATAATATATTTATAGTAATACTAAATACATTTGTTCATCAATAACGTTTTGTTTTATATAATCACTTGTTGAAGAAAATACATCTATAATATATATGTTTAAAACTCCTAATTGTACTGCAATAATATTTATCATTATTAATATTGTTGTCGTTGTTCTTTATTTTTCAAGAGGGTATTTATACTAAACACGAAGATGTCGATGGACAGGAGTTCATTGTAAACGTAATGGACACGTATGAAAAGGTAAATTATATAACTTTTTACTCATCAATCTTAGAAGAAAACAATTAAAAGTATACAAAACCTCATGAAGGTAAAAGATGGAACGACAGAAAATGAGAAATTAATAACCTTAGAAGAAAAAAATGAAAAAAAAACATGTTTCATATATGACATATATATACATAAGTATGTGTGGCAATATGATGGTTAAAGTCAAGGTTCGGGAGCAAATAAATCTTTATGCATATAAAACGTATTTTGTACCTTTTATATTTTCTTATCTTCTGCATTTAAAAAATTATGTAAAACTTTACGCAAAGCTACGTTTATCTACCAGGTTTAGTAAATTTGATTAGTTAAGTTTGATTGAAAGCGGTTGAAGCATATGATATCGACTACACTACATCTATCAACCAAATCTTAAGTATTAAGGCTGTGGTGAAATCAAAGTAAAATAAGTATTTATAATGCAGCCAAAGTAAAATATACATAAACTACCAAATTAAAAGTACCATTAGATGTCAAAATAAACAAATTTAAGATGTGTTGTAGACTTTCCTAAAACGAATACACCACAGTTATTTAATGATAAGAACTGTAGGTATGTAATATTATCACTGCTTTGTACTCAATCACAATTTCAGGATGATTTTTCAAACAGTCAGAGATATTTGAGATGGCGGACCGCTTTTATTGTTGTGTTGCTTGACAGTATAACAGATAGATCTAGTTTTGAGAGTAGCTCGGCACGTACCTGCAGAAAGTCTCTGAAACATTTACGTATCTCCAACAAAGATTGCCGCGTATTGCCCTCGTAGGCCATAAAAGTGCATCTCGAGCGTTACAGTATTATACTTTGCATAGTTAAAATACAATGTTGAATAAACAGACACTTTCTGATAATTATTCATTTTTATTTTATCTTTATCATAGCGAATGGAAGTTTTTTAAGAGTTGAAATAAGATCTTACAAAAGAATTATTGCACTCACGTAGAACAGAATGTGTACATTTGGTTAGAGAGAAAAGTTGTATGCTTATGAATGCAATGTTTATAGGCAATATATGTGTCAAAAGGTATAAATATGTATTGGCCACATAATGTAATACTTTTATTTCTAATTTTATAGTTTGACGCGAGAAAGGCTTTGTTAAAAAATAACCCGAATGCAAAAGACTACTTAAAATTGTTTCGGTACATATATGTAACTTCAACATTTTACTGCTTCATCCCCACGTTATTCACACGAAAAAAAGCAGCTATCAACTTTCAACTTAAGAGTAAATTATCGTTTAGGGCCATCACTTTTTTCAC